AAAACCCGGCTCTGCAAATAAAGGGGGATGCCATGGGGTTTACTGGAAGCGCTGGAGCTGGGTGGGATTTCCCTGCCAGGAGCGGGACTGGCTGAGCCGGGGGCAGAGAGCTGCCTTCAGTCCCTTCCAGGGAAAATTCCTCTCGGGAATTCTCCCTCCTCCCCGGTCACCGCAGCCCTCACGGCGGCGTCGCGGTCCCCCCTGCGCGGGGAGGATTCCCCGTGCCCTGGAATTCCCGGCTGCGAGTCCCAGGGCCGGCTGCTGGCACAGCCCAGCACAGCGCAGCCAGCGCTTTTATAGGGGCAGGGCTGCCCTCTCCTCCTCCTCCTCCTCCTCCTCCTCCTCCTCCTCCTCCTCCCGCCTTAGGGAGGATGGTCCCGCTCCTCTGAGCCCCAATGGCCGCCCGGGAGCTCCTGCGCTCCCAGCCCCTCTCCCTGTGGCTTTTCCCCCCTTTTCCCCTCCCTCTCCTTCTCGTTATTGCTCCACGCCCGTTGTCACAGGGATGATCCAGGGTTCTCCCCTCTGCCTGGAGAGCATAAATACCACCGGGAGCTCCGGGAGACTGCACTGCTCCGAGTCTGAGCCCAGACCTTGCACATCTCGCACCTCCTGAGGCTTATTCCATCCTTTCCCCCCTTCCTCCTCCTTTAAATATTTCAAATACGTTAATTTATTTCCCACAAGCAGGCTTGGAGGAGCTGCAGTTACCTGGAGACTTGGAAGTACTCAGCAAGGTAAGTGTAAAGTTCAGTCCTGGCTGCTGAAATTTTGGTTTTGGGGGTGGTGGGAGTGCAAGAAATTACTCTGAAGAAGGCACAGTTTTAGTAACTTCTCCAAAAAGTTGCCTGGATGGTATAAAACAGCACAGTGCTGTCTGAGCTTCCCTCATGTGTGCCCTGCAGAATTTAATGCAAGATTAACAAGCATTAATCTGGAATGAATGGGAGGAGTTTGCAAGTACAGGAGTGGATTTCTATGCAAATAGAAAATATCCCAGGGATGCTGCTGCAGTCCAGAGCTGATCCCTGTGGGCACATTTGTGTGCTCCAGGCTGCCTGTGTTTGTGCAGCTCTGCTCTCAGGTCCTGTAGGAAAGGAATTTCAGCATCACCACGTGTGGTGTCTGTCACCAGTGGGTTCTCCATGTGGTTTTACACAGAAACTCACCCACTTGGCTTCTGTGGCAGAAATGGAAGATCCAGATGTTTTAAGCCATGGCCTTGAAGATGCTGAATCTGTGGTGTGCCCAGTGCAATGTGGCACTGTTGTCCTGTGCCTAGGAACTTGTCCTCCTCCTTGTCTTTGGAAGGCAGCACAATTCTGCACAGCTTGGGAAAGACATGACCTGGGGTTCCCTGCATCATCTTGTGGCCTTATCCCTGGATTTCTTTGCACAGGTTAAAGCTGATCCCAGGCTAACTCATCCTAGATTCCAGGCTAACTCAGGTTGGAAGCTGATCCCAGGCTCAGTGTAGAAGCTGATCCCAGGCTAACTCCCCTCTGCTTCACTGTTTTAAACGCTCTCCTGACATCCTGAGCTAACTTTTCATTTTCCATCCTTGTCAGCTGGTGCCATGTGTAACTCCGCAGGCCCTGGGATGTTTTAGCTGCAAATGTCACCCATAACCCAGGAGCAGGAGCCCACTCGTGTGCTTCACCAGGGAGGCAGCCAAAGCTCAATATCCCCAGGGAAAAAGGTGACATGGGGACATGCATGCAGGATCAGCCTGCATGTGGCTTTAGCAGCGTCTCTGCCAGGCTTCAGATGTGCCCAGCTCTCCTGCTTTCCGTGCAAGGCAGACACCATCCATTAGCTGGGGAAATAGCTTTCTAAAAATAACCTTTCCTTAAGTCCAGTGCTGCTCTTTAACTCCCTCAGACCCCAGAAGAAGGCCTCCCATTTCTCCCCACTTTGGACAGGCTTTCCAGCACATTCAGGAGTCCTTTTCTGCTGACTCAGTCATTTCTGATGGCTCCCAGATGTTCACCTGGCACCAGTGTCAAGGGCCTGATGTGTTTAAAGGGAAGCTGTGCTCCTCTTGAACCCTTGAAATCAACAGCAGAGGCTTCCTCAGCTGACTGTCAGCTGATGATTTTCTGTGAATAATGTCAAACCCCAGCTCAAAGGCAATGTGATTTTGTGATTTCAGCCTCCCTGGGTGAGGCATTGCCCCAGCCCTGCAGGGCACTGGGACAGGCTGGGCTGCAGCACACATGTCCCAGTGTTCCTTTGCACCTGGGCACGAGGACGCTGAGAGGCAGATGGATGGACCTCTGAAATCTGTGACAGCTTTCTGAAATGTGAGCATCTTCCAGCTGCTTTCAGTTAATCTGGCCAGGAAACTCTCTGCTTTCTGATCCCTTTATCCTTCCTTGGGATGCTCCTCACCTCAAGCTGAAGCAGAGGACGGGACTTGCACACCCTGAGTGAAATAGAAGATTAAGCCAAAATGACCTAATTTTAAAGAGGTGCTGGTATCCTTTTGCTGGCCAGTGGGAGCCAGGGGAGCACATCCCGAGGAATAAAGCACATCCCAAGGAATAAAGCACCATCTGTTGGGAGGTTTTGGCTGCCTCGCCGAGCCAGACGCGCTGGCCTCGCTGCGGAGCCCTGAGCGGGGCAGCTCCTCTGGCTCTCAGATGCTACAGCTGATTTTTTTTCAATCTGCCCTCTCTGAAAGTTCAGTGTTTGCCTTAGATGGGTGGCAGATTTGGGCTCCTGTTCAGCCAAGGGCAGGCGGCCAAACGAGGGGTGCAACGGCCGCCTCTGAGCGCCGGCTGTTCCTGCAGGGAGAGCGGCCGGGGCTAAATGGCCACATTGTCAATGGCCCTGGCAATGCAGCTATTTTTAACCTCTCAGGGAAGTGCCTCAAAGTAGGAATTGTTCCCTGAATTTGGGTCAGACAGTCTACAAAAGCAACTTGCTCCTTCTCCCCTACCCCTGGTGCAGCCGGGTTAGAAAGTCGGGCTCCTGCCTGGGGGGAAGCGAACGCCGCAGGCGGGGCTGAGCAGGATGAGGTTAAAGGAGTGTCTGTCTGTCCTTCTGCCACCGACTGTCCTGCCCTCCAGGTGTGCCTGCAGCTGGGGACAAGGCGAGTGTGTTCGGTTTGCTCTGCAGAGCAGGAAATGATGAGGATTTGTTACCTAAACTGAGCAATGACATCCTGCATTGTTGTAGGCAGGCACAGGCTGAGTGCGCTGCCTGGAGAGAGGCTGAGGGCAGCTGGTTTTCATCTGCCTCAACGTTCAGTCCAAGAGAGAAGCCTCAAGCAGGGACTCTGTGTCTTTGGTGCAGTCAGCCAACAAGTTTTCGGGGGTTCTCAGTGTTCTCAGAGTTTTTTTGGGGGTTCCTGGCTGTGCAAAGCACCTCCTGCTTGCTGCTGTTCTCAAATGCTGCTCTAGTGGGTTGGGGGAGCAGGGGTTTGGGGTTTTGTGCTCAAGTGCAGCTTTTAGCAGGGAGTTAGATGGCTCTCCCCTGCTCTGGTTGGCTTCCAGCTCCTCTGGTCTCAGAGTGTCCAAATCCTGTGTCATTGGATGAAACTTCTCAAATAATTCCTGCTAATCTGGGGGTTGTTTCCTGCCGCTGCAGAGGAATGCTTTCAGCGTGGCTTTCAACACTGCTGTCAAAACTAGATCCTCACCTCGTGCTGGAGACAGGGATGGGGGAGCTCTCTCCCAAAAATTAACCCTAAGGAGGGAGATGCTGTGCTTGCTCTGTCTGTAGAGATGCTTCCTGCCCCTGGATGGATTGATCCTGTTCCAGGGGCTCAGTGAGTGCTGCACAGCCTCCTGTGAATGATCCAAATAAAACCAGCCAAGATGCTCAAGGATCACTGAGTAGATAAACTGGAGCATGGGAAGGGTAGAAGTGCTTGGGGATGGCTGGTGGAGCAGGAGCGCTATAGAGCAAGGGACAGGGATCAAAGGAAGCTGCTCAAAGACCAGATGTCACTCCTGCACCGAGACTGACACCGGAACGCGAGAGGCAGGATTGTAGAAAAGACAAAGAAAACTTTATTTAAAGGAACTGCGTGGTTTTTATAGAGTGATACGATAGGTTCTATTCAAAACCAAAACATCTTCCTCACACACTGTCCTTGAGAAGAACAGAAAGACCAAGTAGAAAAACACCACTTGCAAATTGTTTATACTCAACAAGTTATCCCGTCTTTCCAGCTCTCTAAAATTCCTCGCAAGCCGCTGTGAGAGACGCCGTTTCTCTCTCTCCGTCCCACGGCATCCACAACCAAAGCCCACTCCGTCGGTGCTGACGGCATCCGAGTGCCTGGGAACACCTAATCTGGCCGGGGGAGGGCGGCTGCTCCCGCTGCTCCATAACTCACATCCCGGGGAGCGTCAGCCGGAGCCCCGGCTGCGTCAGCGCCAGCAGGGACCGCGCGGCTCCATCCCGCCGTGACATTTCCCAAACACAGCCGCTCTCCTCAGCCCAGCAGCTGCTCTGCTGCAGCCTCAGAGCAGCTCCTGCTGCTGCCTGACCTCCTCATCCGCCTGGCTGGCGATTTGTCGTTCCCTTTTATTCATAAAGTAGCGAATCTCGGCTTTGCCAGCTGCTCTTTGGGGGGATGGCTCCAGGTGTCGCCCTGCCTGGGAGGGGATGGAGCTGGGGTTACTCTGATGAGCTGATGGGTATTACAGGGTGGCAGCTCCATCGGGGGTGCAGAAAGCATCCTCCTGCATGCCTGGGAAGGGTTCACTCCCAAATCAGCATCACAGGAATTCCCAGGTGTAATAAACTCTCAGTCCCCACCTCTTTTGGTGCTGTTCGGGTCTTCCCGCCTTTGGGGTGAGCAATAATTTTAATAATTTTAACTCTTTCCCAAGCTCAGATCTGGGCTGTGTGACCTCGTTGTTGAGGGGCAAATGCACTGCGATCTCCTGTGGCACTGCTCTGACTGCCTCTTTCTCCCCAAATTCCAGACCTGCACTGAGCCCCGGGAGTCCCTGCAGGAAAACCCAGCATCGCCTTCATCTCTGCTCCTGCTGGCAGCATGAGTCCTGCCCTGCCCTGGATCCTTCCTCTCGGATGTGTGCTGCTGCTGCTGCTGACAAAGACAGCTGAGTGCTTCATCTTGCCCAACTCGAGTCACCTGGAGAGCATCCTGAGTAAATACCAGGATGGGGAAGCTCACTCCAGGTCCAAGAGAGCCATTTTATTCTCAGACAGACAGGAGATACTGATGCTCCACAATAAACTGAGAGGTCAGGTGTATCCAGTGGCCTCTAACATGGAATACATGGTGAGTCTAGAGCCTGATGCATCACTTTATTACTGTTTTTATTTTTTTCCCCCCTAACTGTATTTAAATTTTCCTTGTGGTGCGAGAGGTGTAGCAAATTTCCTCTGAAGTAAGTTTTCCTCAAGAGGTTTCCTGGAGCCTTTCATTCCAGAGTGAAGGATGCTTTAGATCTGTGGCCTGTTTTGGTTGGAAGGGGCTGCTGCTGTTGGGTCACCCAGTCCATCCTCTGCATAGTTCCAGAAGTGGTTCCATTATTCATAAAGGAGCATCTGGCCCAGCCCTGGATGCATCTCCGGTGCTGGCAATTCCCCAGCCTGCCTCAGCAGGTTCTTCCATTACATTCAGGTCATAAAAGCAGCGATTTTCCCCCAGTGTTTAACCCCTGCTCTCCCTGTGAAAGCTTTCAGCCTCTTGTGGGGACACCACAGTCTGCTCAGGGAATCTTCAGGTGGTTTTTGGGTTGCCAACCCAATGCTGGAGGTTCACCTGCCCTCAGTCACACAGTGATAACCTGAGCTTAGCAACGTGAGCCAAACCTCCACAATGCTCCTGGGAATCTGCACAGGAGCACAGGGAAATGGGGCCTGAGGAATGTGGCTCCATCTGCAAAGCACTGGGAGTACCTGGAAAGGTTTTTGGAGTTCCTGGGTGGATGGGTCACTGCTGTTGGGTTTTGTAGTTCAGGAAACCAAAATAAAAATTTGGTCAATGTATTCTCCTATTTTAGAGGGAGAACCTAAAAGTTGGAGGAGTATGAAATACGCCTTTGCCATCAACAATTCACATGAATATTGTTTTTTCACCTGATGCCAGAGACCCTACTTTGAGCTATTTTTGCCATGCCATCAAAATATTACAGGGCCACAAAATGATGTAGGCAAATAATTACTTTTTGTGTACCTTTTCCCAGTGGGCAAATATAGTTCTGATCAAAACTGGTCTGACTTCAGCCATATGCCCCTGCTGACGGATCACAGGACGGATGACTTGTTAAGGCCATGTTTAAAAGGGTAAAAGAAGAGTAAACTTAAATGTAATATAAAATTGCCTGCCAGCTGTGCTGAAGTGAGGGCTGCAGATGTAAAATCCTGCCTTTTGTGACTGCAGGGAGAAAGGGAAGAGAAGGGAGGGCAGGGGATGGTGAGGAGGGACAGCTGTCCCTGAGTTCTGGGTTCTGCCAGACATCCCGTGCCTTTCTAAGAACTGGGGATTGCATCCCTTCCTCAGCGTTATCCTGCAGGGAAGCACTGCCAGGAGAGGCCACTTGATGCATTTCCAGAGGGTAAACACAAAGCAGGAGCAAGCCCAAGGTGTTTTGGTTGGCCCTGGGGCTGGCAGAGCCGCCGCTCGTCCCTGGCCCAGCCGCTGTTTGCACTTCTGTGTTTGCCTTTGCTCTGGGAGCTTTTCTAGTGGTTTTCATGGGTGATGGAGGGCCAGTGAAAGGGCCTTGTGTGCTCTGAAGAAAGGAGCTGAGTATGAGATGGTGCTGCTTGGAAGGGCTATAATCAGCCTTTCATGTGCTCCTGTTTACCCAGTAGGACTTGGAAATGCCATGTATATGCTGAACGGGAATTTCTCTTTAATCCTTTGTCCTGCAGAGGACATTTCTCATTTGGACTCGTTGAAGAGGATGGTCTGTCTGTAGAACCATAGATAAACTTTCCTCTTTCCCTTTGGTGCTGGAGTGGAGCATCACTGGAGATGTGCTGGGATAACTTGTGGATGAGTGGGTAGAGCTTGTTCTTGCCCATCAACCTCCAGGATTTGTGAAAATCCTTTCTCCCAGCTCCATATCTGATGTATTTAAGTGGTCTAAAAGGGAAATGAGACCTAATATATTCCAGGAAAGGGACATATTTAACTGCTTCTGGATGAACTTCTGTTTTTGGACACAGTTAATGAGAAAGCAAGAGCACAGTGAGTCCTATAACTTATCTGGAGATCAAAAGAATTTTTATATACATATGGGATAGAGGCAAAGGAGGCTGAAAAATGAAGGAAGAAACGGTTTAGCTGCTGGGTCTGTGTAATTAATTGAGAGCTGGCACAGGTATTCAGTGCTAATGGAAAATGAGTGAGCAGGGCACAAGTTCCTGACAAAACTGAGCCAGTTCAAAATTACCTTAACCCCTCTACCAGCTCAGTGACTGACACTTCCAGAGTGCATTTGGACAGCTGAACAGAGGTGGGTGGGTGCCAAGGCCAAAACAAACTCCTTGTTAACAGTCCCAGAGTGAAAAGGACATAACGGACTCAGAGGAAAAAGGACAAAATAGATCCTAAGGCATGGTGACCTTTTAAGATGGCTTAGTCAGATGCTTTCAGCAGTGATGAAAGGCAGAAATCTTTCCTCTTGCGGCCGCCCCAGAGACAGCTGGAGAAAGCAAAATTGTTCTCAGTGCAGATTGCTGGAAGGAAAATAGTTTGTTTTCATGTATAAGGTATGCATCCTTCCTCTCAACTGCAGGGTGGTGGCTTTCCCTGTCAGGATGGGGTAGTGTTTCTGTTCTGTGGGGGTTAGCAAAAAGCATCTCCAGACCTCGGCCAGGACATGTCAGGCCTGGAGCTTGATGCCACTTTTAGAAGGAAGCTGCCAGTATTGCAGAGAGTCTGGGCTGGGGAGGAAAATGAGTGAGTAACCTGATCACTGCAATTCAGGTGTCTGGCTTTGGGTTTGCAGGCTCCTCAGGCTCAGGGAGCAGACTCCTTGTGGGATGCATTATTAAACCTGGGCCTACAAGTTGTGGTGTGGTGTGTGTGTGTGTGCCATGCATATATTTTACATATTCACTGTCCATTCCACTTTGAAAGGCCATCAGAAATTTGCAGGAGCAAAAAAGAAGAGAGTTGATGTGCTAACCCACTTGGAATCACACACACCCAAAACATTTTCAACCTCTGCTTCTGAAGGAAGCTGAGCACAGGCTCGTTGCCCCTCTGGCTTCAGTCATCTTCCTAGATACTGCTTTGAATATTGGCATAAAGAATTCTTGCAAGTATAGCTGGGAAAGTTTGAAATCTCTTTTTTTTTTTTTTTTTTCTTCCCCTCTATGTTTATTGCTCTGAAATAATTCCAGCCCCCTGACCGCATTCGCGTCTGAGAAGCAAGAGGCAAATAACTGCTCTAATTTAGATGGGATGGCTTTGTAATCTGATGCCTGCAGAAACCAGCTTCTCTCCTCATGCAGAAAAAGCCGTGCAGAGATGGAGCTCCCTCCCAATTACCTGCTAAGTGTCTTTTTGTCCGAGTTCATTTATTTTATCCGCAGGCATCAAAGGGAGATACAGCGTGAACGCTTGCATTAATTCCCATTTAATAGCCCATTGCTCGGGACGTCTCTGCATTAAATTAAGAAATTTGGAACATCTCCGCCTCCGGGGCTGCAGGGAATAGAGCTGGGTAGGAAGTCTGAGGAGCCGGGAGTGCAGAACATCTTGGGAGAGTTTCTGTGGCTTTTGTGCTGGATGGGAGGGCAGCGGTGGCTGCTGAGCCCACAAAGTGGGAAACCACAAAAAGCAGCGTCTGCTGCAAGAGGCTGCCGGAGCAGAGGGCTGGGGATGTGCGGTGGGTCTGATCCCATCACTCCCAAGGCGCTGGGAGGGCTGAGAAGGAAAAGGGGTTTGTTCCCTGTGTCAGAGCTGTGTCCACACAGGGTTTTGCAGGCTGAATTTTCCTGGTCACTGCCGAGTCCAAAGCCAAGCTGGTGAGGCTGGGACAGCTCAGGGATGCTGCTGGGATCTGGGTTGCTGAGAGTGCTCCACGATAAGCTCTTCTGTGAGCTCAGTGAGATGAGGTCGCGTTTGCCTCACTGAGACACTGGAGACACACCAAGCTCCAGGAGACGCTGCATTTTCCTGTTGCCTTACCCAGGGATGCACAGTCCTTCCCCATCCCAGCTGCAGCTGCCTGAGACCGTGTGCAGATATGCTCAGAGTGAACACTGGAGGCTTTGTAAATGTGTAGGAGAGCCTGGATGCAGCCCTTCAGGTCCTTTGAAATGTTAGAGATCAGAAGTTGCTTTTCCTCTGGAGGGGACAGGACTTGGAAAGAGCAGCTGGTTGTGATGGTAAATGTCCAAAGAGGACAGTCTCGTGCTGGCATGTGGATGGGCTGGATGCACATTACAAGACCTCTCCTCTCTTTGGTTTCATTGGTAGGAATGTGTGGTAATATTTTAATCCCAATGAATTATCCTCTAAGGGCTGCTCTGAATAGAGCAGCTGTCAGTAATTACACAATGAATTCAGGGCACTGGCTGCTGGACCCAGAGAGTCTGGCCTTTAGAACAAATGCTCTCCTGGGCAGCAGAGCCAGCAGAGCTGCTTTCCTGTTTGCCTTTGTGTCGTGCTGGAGCTCTCCTTTGGCTCACAACTGTGTGATATTCGATGAGCAGTGATCTCACCCCAGCATCCTGCCCTCAGAAATGGCATTTGTCACTTCCAACGTGATGCCTGTTTCAGTGAGAGTGGAAAAAAGCTTAAAAACCCTGGGACATTGCCACCTCTGATGTATTTGACTGGATCCACTGGTGGACTCTCATTTATTCTGGAAGGAGAAGGGGAGCTGGGACTGAGAGCCTCAGACCCACAGTGCTTGATGAAGAGCTTGGATCAAAGATCTCCAGCTGTGTGGTGGTGGAGGTAGTGGAGCTCTCACTTGGTGGGAAAGCCTGGAGACATCCCAGCAGTGAGGACAATGGATGAAAAATCATCCTGAAATACATCAAAGCACTGAGTGCATGACAGAACTCCTGCAGGAGTCAGAAATGTGTGTCATGCTGGAGATTATGGGATCCCAGAAATGTGTGTCATGTTGGAGATCATGGGATCCCAGAAATATCTGTCATGGTGGAGATCATGGGATGCCAAAAATGTGTGTCATGCTGGAGATCATGGGATCTCAGAAATATCTGTCATGTTGGAGAACATGGGATCCCAGAAATATCTGTCATGTTGGAGAACATGGGATGCCAGAAATGATCCCAGAAATGTGTGTCATGTTGGAGATCATGGGATGCCAGAAATGTGTGTCATGCTGGAGATCATGGGATCTCAGAAATATCTGTCATGTTGGAGATCATGGGATCTCAGTAATATCTGTAATGTTGGAGATCATGGGATCTCCAAGCTTGAATTTTAATTTTTAATTTTTTAAAAACATATTAGGAAACCAACTGCCAAGAATGTCTCGTGGTTTAGGGTGGATGGTCCGGATGTGTTCCTGAGGTCCTCCCATGTGGGTCTGTGTGTTTTCTGATGAACTGAGTGAAGCATTTCCTCAGATGCATGGCATCAGCTGGGGAAAATCATAGACCCTTCAGTGCCCTGGACATTCATGGCAGGGGAACATGCTGAGAAATGTGATTTTAGCACAGAAACATCACCAGGACAGGCCAGAAATAGGGGGGTGGTCTGTACCTTAACCTTTCTCCACCAACTGCTGTTGGTTTAATCTCCTGATCTAGTGAGTTGGAGATGCAAAACTGACCTGTTCTTTTCTCTCCCCGACCCTGCAGACCTGGGATGAGGAGCTGGAGAGGTCAGCACATGCCTGGGCTCAGCAGTGCATCTGGGACCACGGGCCCAGCGACCTCATCAGGTCAATTGGGCAGAACCTGGCAGTTCACTGGGGCAGGTAAGGCTTGGGGTGCTCCAGGACCATTGCAAAGGGTGGTTCATGGGGTCTCCTTTAGAGAGAGACAGCTGGAAATGTTTGCTCTGGTGCGCGGTGGAGCGCTGGGGAGATGGGAGAAAAGCTGGGGGTCATTAATTGTGATTAATTGCGATTAATTGTGATCAGTGGGATGGGTATTGTGGTAACTCCTGCAGCCACCTTCCACTGAGAGTTCCCAGCACTGATTTGGGCTCCTCCATCCATCTGGAGCTGGGGTAGCACCTCTGTAACACACCCAAAGTCACTCCTTCTCCTTGAGGAGAACAGGGACAGAAGCCTGAGCCCTTGCTCCTAAATCTGCTGTTTCAGGGGGTTCTGGCATCATGCAGCTGAATGCTGAAGTTTCTCAGGGGCAGTGTCTGGATTCAGCTCAGAATTTGTGTCTGGATTCAGTTCAGAATTTAATTCTCTCTTGCTGTGTTTTCCATAAATATTTATCTGGCTCTTGATTTTTCTTTACTGAAAACACTTTGTAGGGTTTTTTTTTTTTCCAATTCCTGGGACAAGTTATTAAACTAGAGTCATTAACCCAGTTAGGAAGCTGACATGAAGCCTTCTAAAGGAATTTTCCTCTCCATCTCAAGATGAAATTTGTTTATTGTTAAGTCTCTAATTTTAAGCTTGTTATAGGTTAAACCTGCTTTGCGCAGCAAACATTTTGTACTTGCCCAGGAGCCCTGAGCTTTTTCCCCCATTTCCTGGGTTCAAGTCCAGTTATCTTTGTTGTAAATCAGGTGGAACTTGGTGGAAAGCAAAGGAAACTTGCTGGTGTGAAATTAGCCAGATCTAAAAATTGGGGCCATTTTAATGCTTGGCAAGTAGAGTGGTTAATTCATTGGAAACAAAGTCAAAAGATCGTGCTGTTCTTGGCTGCCCTACAAGTGCTCAGGATGGCCATGGGTTCCTGATGGAAGAAGATCCAATCTTGCTCCCTTTGAGGTCCCTGAGAGGAAAGAAAAATCAGATTTATCTCAGCTTTTTCAGGAACGGGCCACGACTTGATTGCCTCCATTTCCCCTCCTGTAAAACAGGATTCGGAAAGTATTTGCTTCATGACATCATGAGATGGATGTTTTTAAAATACTTCTAATGAGTGATTTTTAATGAAAAGTTGGCTGAAAGGGTAAGCTCCAGTTGGTAATGATATAATTTGGATTTCTGGCAGCTTGCTCGGTGTGAGCTGTTGAAAGCAATCAGAAAGCAGTGGGCTTGGTACAGTTTGCAGATCACTGGGTGTAAAGTGTGTATGAGTTTGTACAGGTAGTTTTGACACCATCTGTGCCCCCCAAACAGCATCAGCACTGCCTCAGACTGTGATATCTGAGGCAGAGATTACACACAGGGTACAGGGGGCTTGGTGCAGGGGAAAATTGCTGCCAAAAAAGGCGGGATAGGAGTGCAGAGCACCAGCTACTCCACACCAGCTCCTGGCGGGATGTGAGTGAGGAAAAGCCCACTCACTTTCTAAGGTCTTACAGAACTGGCTGTGAGTTATCTCCCAGATCTAGCAAATTGCCCCCTGGTAAGATAGGTACATGATGGCTTTGGGTTTAAGATGTTTGGCAAAGCCTAACTTGTGTTTACTTTCAAAACACAACTTCCCGCCAAACTAGAAGTTATTTTGTCGTTGAGTGGAAAAGTGAGAGGGCATTTCAGGTCAGCAGCGCTTGAGGATCATGTCAAACCTATAAATAATACAGAGTCAGGTCAGGCTGTGAATCTGAGGGAAAAAATCATAGAAACACACAACAGTTTGGGTTGGAAGGGACCTCAAAGATCTTTCCAGTTCCAATTCCCCAGCCATGGCAGGGACACCTTCCACCATCCCAGGGTGCTCAAGCCCTGTCCAGCCTGGCCTTGGGCACTGCCAGGGATCCAGGGGCAGCCACAGCTGCTCTGGGCACCTGTGCCAGCACCTCCCCAGCCTCACAGGAACAATTCCTTCCCAATTAAGGAGGAAGATTTTCACAGAAAGAGTGGTCAAATACTGGAATCATCTACCCAGGGAGGTGGTGGAGTCACCATCCCTTGATGTGTTTAAAAAAAGACTGGATGTGACCCTTGGTGCCATGGTCTAGCTGAGGTGTTAGAACATAGGTTGGACTCGATGATCTTGAAGGTCTCTTCCAACCTAGAAATTCTGTGATTCTAATTGCAGTGACATATCCCATCTAAGCCCTCATCTTTAACAGTTTTAAAAACTGGCCTTTTTGTTGGTGTTGTGGTTTTTTTTTATTATTATTTTGGTTTTTGGGGGGGTTTTTCGATGTTTTTTTTGTTTGTTTGTTTTGTTTTTTTGGGTTTTTTTTGAAAACTTCTACCAGAACATCCTGACTCCAGCTGCCTTTTCCCCCTCAGGTATCGATCCCCAGCCTTCCACGTGCAGTCCTGGTATGATGAGGTGAAGGATTACACATTTCCATACCCCCACGAGTGCAACCCGTGGTGCCCAGACAGATGTACAGGTGCCATGTGCACACATTACACCCAGGTAAAGGACTCCAAGGGCTCTGCACCCACACTCCCCACATCCCCCCCCATGTCTGGAACGGGGTAATTTGCTTATTTGCAATAACCACATTTCCCTTACAGATAGTCTGGGCCACCACCAACAGGATTGGCTGTGCTGTGAATGTCTGCAAGCAGATGAATGTGTGGGGAGAGATCTGGGAGAACGCTGTCTACCTGGTCTGCAACTACTCCCCCAAGTAAGGCAGAGCAGCTGGGCTCTCTCCAGCCCTCCCAAAACTGGCAGCTGGCTTAACTAGCTCTGGGGAAGAGATTTCAGGCAGTCTAGACTGGTGGTTGTGGCTTTAAATTTTTTCTTTAGACAGCAGCACTGGGCTGGTTCAAAGCTACAGAGCGCTGCCTGGAAAACTGAATGAGAGGCTGGGGCCAGGCTGGAGCTTTGATGTGCCTGCCACGGGAAGGGAAAGGAGGAGCAGGAGATGGCCAGGATGGAGCTGGCTGCTGAGCAAGGCTTGCTCTCTGCTGTCACAGGGTGGGAAGGGATGGGGTGGTGGCGAATGCCAAAAAAACCCTGAAATAACTGCAGCAGTCAAGATTTCACCAGCTCGACGGTTTGATTAAATTTCAAAATGAAAAATCATATTTCTTTGCCTACTACATCCAGGAGAAGTTTACTACCTGGCAATGGCAGTTAAGATTTTCTGGTTTAATGGCTAATAGGAGAAACATTCCCACTCCAAGCCCTTGGCAATTTAAAACTTCAAAACAAAACAAAATAGGGAAATCTCTGTATGCAAACAGAGTGGCTTGGGGAGCACCTGACTTCAGGGGATCACTGCAGAATAATGCAAAGGAAAAAGATGTGTGGGGCTGCAGCTGTCATGTCCAGGCAGAGCTCTCTGGGTGGGTTCTCTAAGCCCCTCTCCCCATTTTGCTCCTGATTTGGGGGGATTTACCCACCTGCTGCTCCTGAGGGATAACAGCATCTCCCACAGAGCCCCCTCAGCAGGCTGGGAGATTCACACGTCATCCATTCAGAGCTGCTGGATGGAAAAACACTCTATTTCTGCAGTTTCTGCTTAATCTCTTCTCTCTGGCACCGGTGCACATTGTCCTCATGTAGCCTCATAGGTGGAGACAGCTGAAAGAGCATAACCCAGGAGTTTATAGGCACAGCTTAACTCCGGCTCCTTCAGCCTCCTCATCCCCTAAAACTTGCAGGACAGAAGGCCAAAATGGACTGTTGTTTCTGGGGAGCTTCTTCAGCAAAATGCAGTAATCCATTGATTTATTTCTGTTTACATAAGACCCTGGTGTTGATGTTGGAATGTAATATAAAAGCAATGTGGCACACGATTTAAGCAAACCCCTAAAAATGTCATTTTAGAGACGGAACAAGGAGGAACACCTTTCCTACAAGGCTGGTTGTTTAGTTTCTATTTAGTTGCTCTAGGCCAGGATGATGTTTCTGGGTTTGGAGGCTTGGAAGGGTATTTGGGTGTCTGATGGGTGCTCATTTCTCCCGTGCTCCCAGGGGCAACTGGATTGGAGAAGCTCCGTACAAGACCGGCCGTCCCTGCTCCGAGTGCCCTCCGAGCTATGGAGGGAGCTGCCAGAACAACCTCTGCTACAAAGGTACCTGCTGGGGGCTTGGGGCCCCTCTGGGGTGGGGAACAAGCCTGGAGCAAACCTGTGGAAGCTTCTAATTGGGACCAGCCACAGCTTCGTGCCCCTCTTAATTAGCCATCCTCAATATTCCGATGTTGGGAAACGTGGGAAATCATCAGCCACTGAAAGCAGGAATCCCTGAGCTGCTGAAAATCTGGAGCTGGGATTCAGCAGGAAAACAGAGCTTGGATAGGGAGAAGCAGCTGTGAGCTCCCATGGGTTTGTCCTGGGAGCTGCAGGGGGGTTTGAGCACCGGCAGGCTGGGGCAGGAGCGATCCCGTCCTGCTGGGGTTTGCTGGGGAAGAACATTTGCTGGGGAAGAACATTTGCTGGAATGTTCTCCAGGGCTTGGCAGAGGCATCCCGGGTGGGCAGGGCTCGGCTGCCTGCCCTGCACCTTCAAGGGCCACGGGTGGAGCCTTTGCCTCCCTCTGCACCTTTCAGGGTGGGGGATTCAAGGGATGGTTTTCAGGTTTTCAGGGATGCAAAATGAACCTGGCGATTCGTGTCCCTTGGAGGAGAGGAGGGGGATCCTGAAGGGTTTTTCCTGAGCTGTGGAGTGTTTTTGGAAGAGAGGTCAATAGGATAAAACATATTATTAGGGTGAGCCCTCCAGCAGCAGCGCTACCCCCAGCATCTCCTGGGGCCATTTCTCTCCTCCCAAGTGTTTTCCTTCCCAGAGAGCTGGGCTCTTTGGAAACAGGGAGATTCCCTGGACAATTGCCCAAAGCTGAGGCTATTTTTTCTGGCAATAAGCATTTCTCATTTTTTATCTTGTGGGGTTTGAAGGAGGACCCCAGGGTGCAGGTGGGCTCCAGCAGGGAGAGAAGGAGGGGGATGCTCTGATGGAATATGAGCCCTTCAGCAAATTTGTGTTTTCCTCCAGAGGGAAGAGCTCAGTGGGAAATAGAGGAAGGAATAACAGCTGGTTTTTTTTCACTAATTAGTGAGCATCCCTTCAAATCTTCATTGTGAGATGCTGTAAATGCTGCTTCATGTGCAGAGGAGCAGGGGAGGAGTGTCCTGGCAATAGCCCTGAGCTGCTTCCAATGGGCATTTCTGATCTCCCAGCTGTTTAAAAGCAGATCCTTGTCCAACCAAACCATCCCCACTGAACATGAACTTGACCTGCCCACCAGTGTGAGCACACTGTGATTATTTTGAATGCCCTTTTCTGCCAAGATCACCGTTATGAAGATCCCATCATTGCTGAGACAGACGAGACCAACGAGGTGGAGATCCCGCAGGTGGCGGAGCAGAAGCCGGTGCAGTTCCACCTCCCAGAAAACAAACCCAGCAAACCCATCAAGGCCAAGAAAATCACCCCAGAATCCTACATGAGTAAGACACAGACTTTCCCTTTTTCTTTCTCTTTTTCTCTGTTTCTTTCTTTTTCCTATGGGTTTTGGAGCACCTCAGTGGGAAAGGGTGTGGGAAGTGATGAGGAGGCTCGGGGACAAAGAAACTGGGAGGATGTTTGAGTGGAGGAAAGGTGATCTGTGTGAAAATTCACTGTGTGAACATTTCAGCTGTGCAGAAAGCTGCTAGAAGTGATGAGCAAAGCTCTCAAAAACAACCTGTACCTTCTGCACATCAATCTGTAAAAGTCCTCAGTGTTTGTTTCAGTCATTTCATGGAATCCAGGAATGGTTTGGTTTGGAAGGGACCTTAAAGCCCATCCCATCCCACCCCTGCCATGGGCAGGGACACCTTCCCCTGTCCCAGATTGTTCCAAGCCCTGTCCAGCCTGGCCCTGGGCTCTGCCAGGGATCCAGGGGCAGCCACAGCTGCTCTGGGCACCTCCCCATCCTCTCAGGGAACAATTCCCAATTCCCAATCTCCCATCCCTCCCTGCCTCTGGCAGTGGGAGCCATTCCCTGTGTCCTGTCCCTCCATCCCTTGTCCCCAGTCCCTCTCCAGCTCTCCTGGAGCTCCTTTAGGCCCTCTGAGCTCTCCCTGGAGCCTTCTCCTCTCCAGGTGAGCACCCCCAGCTCTGCCAGCCTGGCTCCAGCTCTCAGAGCATCTCTGTGACCTCCTCTGACTGACTCCAGCAGTGCATGTCCTCCTGATCTCAATAAAATATCAACGTGCCAAAAGTCCCCTCAATCAGTAATGCATTTAGGAAATATTGGTTTTATTTCACCTTTAGGAAACTCTACACTCAGCACTTACCCTTCTTCACAACTTTTCTGGGGTTTACAGCTTGTTTCCTCTTTATTTCTTGCTGGGGAATATTTCTGAAGTTGTTTGTGGAGCTGCTGGTGCTTCCTGAGTTGTTTTCCAACCGCTGTTAATTAAAAGTCACTTATTGAGAAAACAAGGTGGGGCGAGCCAGAGGGGCCTTTTCAAGTTTATCAGCCAGCATCTGGAGAGTCTGTAATTAAAAGGAGAATGAGAGCTCTGAGTGCAGACCTCGGGCTGTGAATCAAAGCCTTCAGCTGTCAGCTGCATCTTCCTCGCGAATATTCCAAAGACACCTGTCTCAGGTGAAGGGCTAAGGAGGCACCAACTGCTCCAGGCTGGATAAAATCAGATTTTATCTTGCTGCACCAAAGACCTCCAGGGAAGATGTGTGGAGCTTGCTTATTTCTGTAGCTCAAGAGCAGGCTGAGCAATTTCCTTTTTAAAAAATGTATTTATTTGATTTTTTTTTTTTTCCTCCCCAGCACAAGTCATTACCTGTGAAACCAAGATGAGAGACAAATGCAGAGGCTCAACGTGCAACAGGTAGGGTTTTGTTGATACTACTTGGAGTGCTGAGGGGAAAAGTAAATAAATATTTACTATTTATTGCTATAAATTATTTATAATAAATAATAATATTAAAATAATGTTATTAATAATATATAATATTTTAAATAAATATTTAATAAATATTTATGTTTTATTGCTAGATATTACTCAGTTCTTGCAAACACAGGATAGGTTGCACTACATATTTTTTTGTGACTCTCAAGGTAGATCTCTTTAGGAAAAGCCCCAAAACCCAACAAAAAAAAAATCCCCCTAATTTTCTCTTAATTCAAGCCTGCAGCCAAGCCTGGCAATAAGGTGATTTGCATGATTTTACTCAGCCATGAAGAGTTTCAACCCACTGTTTCAGGTGTCAAAAATAATTTAATGAATTTCGGCAGAGTCATTTTTTTGAGCCTTTTTCATGCATTCCACTGCTGCCCGAGGCAGACCAATAATTCATGGCTTGTCCCCTCCCAGCCAGTCCAGAACTTCTGGTTAAGGTTTCTGCAGAGAACAGGACAGTTTATCACTTGGAGAAAAACCAAATCCACAGAACCTAAATATTGGTCGGGCTCTTAAGGAGGGTGGAGCAACTGTTTTAAAAAAGCAGCTATTTTGCAATCTTGTTTTTAAAACAGGAGAGCTACGTGAAATGAATGGAATGACTATTAAGCGAAATAGAGTCAAAGTCTGTTTTTCTTGAATTGTTTTTCACCACCCTCAAAGATAAATATCTTTACTAGGTATTTGTGCCCAGCTGGCTGCTTGTACAGTAAGGGAAAGATCTTTGGAACATTTTATTATGAAAGTGTAAGTACCTTTTAATAGCTCCTGGATGTAATTTGTGGGAGGCAGTGGGAATGACAGAAATGGGGAATGCCAGCCGTTCTGCTGTAATTTGGCTTTTCATCCTCTCCGGTTGTGGTGCTGTAAAATGGTGCTAATAAGGATTATCTGCATTTTCCTCATCTTGCTGTTGAAAAAAGGGACAGAGTCTGGGAAGGCAAAGTGGCTCCAGATGTGATTTTGTCAGGAATTGTCCTTAATGAGGACACCCATGGAAAGTGAGGGATGAGCATTAATGGGCAGCTCCTACAAAGATGCCTTTGCTCCTGTGGGCAGCTGTCACCTGAACAGAAACTTTATATAAAAACCACTGTTAAATTTTTTTAGCTAAATAATATTTTGCTTGATCTTAAATTAGTAAGATAATTTATACATAAAGCATAGCACCACTTTCCCATCAAAACTGCTTTTGGGGTGAAGGAGGTTGGAAGATAAAAGGGTTTTTTTGGGTAAAATCAGGTTTTCTTTCCCTGTTCCAACTGTTGGTGCGTGACTGCATCACCCCTGATGTGTCTTTGCCCTGGAAATTCTGTGATTGCAGACACCCAACCCCTCCAAGTGGCGTCAGCAGAAATATTTTGGGTTTGAATATTTTCTCGAGAACTGGAAATATTTCAGACTGGTCGCTCACTTCCAACACTGCTTTTCCTCTAAATTGTATTTAAATGTATGGTTTTGTTATTTGAAAAATATAAAATCTTGCCATTCAACCAGGCAGTGCTTAAAATAATAGTAATAAAAGAATCTGTATTGGGAGAGGAAGATTTAACAACCAGATTCCAAAGGAGTGTACTCAGCTTATTTTCCACTTGGTGCTCTGGTGGTGGTTTCATTTCTCCTCTGTTTTTCACGTAGCAGTTGGGCAGCGTTGCTCTGTGAATGGGATTTATTGGATTTGATTCATTTCACATCTATTTATCTCCTGTCAGTCCTCCAGCATATGTCGTGCTGCAATCCACTATGGAATCCTGGACAACAAGGGAGGGCTGGTGGATATCACCAGGAAAGGGAGGACACCTGCTTTTGTGAAGTCCACCAGGAACGGTGTGGAGTCATTCAGGTACTGCCCTCACCAAAAGCTGTTGGTATTACCTTTAAAAACAAGCAAATATTCAGTCATTGTTGCTCTCATGGAGACACAGTGGTCCAAATAATTCTACTCTGCTTATTTTTTTTTTTGTTTGCTTGTTTTACAGGAAAAGCAAACCTTCAAATGCATTCATGGTTTCCAAAGTCACAAGTAAGTTTTAAATATTGAGGGGGAAAAAATATATGTTGCTGGAGTTTTATGGGATACTTGAAAACATCATTCCTTTCAGGGCTCTTTGTCATTTCCAGTGGTTGTGTCAAATGGTTCTGTGCCACAACCAAACCCTGGAGTGGTGGTCTGGGGGGATCAGAGCCTCAGAGTGACTGCCCACCCACCTTGGGCAATTCCACCACCACCCACCTCATTTTCCTGGGGGGAAGGTAGAGAAATAGGTGAAAATGGGCCAATTCCAGCAGCATCTCCTGCTGATGGATCATGGTGGGGTCCAGGCTTCAGCTGCTGATAGTGAAGGGGTGGAAGTTGAGCCATCCCTCTTCAAAAGCTTCAGTCACTTGTCAACTCTTATAAAAACTGAAAAGAAAAAAAAATAGTGGCTAATGTCCTAGTGCAGTAATGAAATGAAAAACACAATACATGTGAAATTAGTATTTAACAGTGAGTCATCACATTTCTGATGGGCTGATATAAACAAACACTGCTCTACTTTTTAAACAATTCAGAATTTCTGAATATCTTTGCAAAATTCCTCCAGTGCAGAACCATCAGGTGTCAGGATATTTGGGCTCCACATCTGGAGCTGTAGCAAGCCCAGGTGTTGTGGACCAGCTGCTTGTCTCTTCTGAAAGCTGTGACCTTTTCAAGGCCACACTGCAGTGGCCTTAAAAATCTCCAGGATTCCTGCTGGAGAGCAGCTCAGCCCCATCCTGGGATCCTGCTGCTGGAGCAGCTTTCCCCCTGGTGCTCAAGGGTCCCACCTAATGCATTGCGTGGCTCTGACTTGTGTTTTCTTCAGCAGCCTGAGCTTTTGGGTCTAATAATTTGCCTTTCCACGTTTATCTTGGCAGCACAGACTCTGGATTGTTACACCACAGTAGCTGAGCTGTGCCACTTCAAAAAGCCAGCGAGCCACTGCCCAAGGTAACACAAATCTGGGTTAAAAACCTCTGTCCTAAGGGAGGGGCAGCTTAACAGAGGTGCTGAGGGCCCTGAATTTGAGGGCTGGTGGGAGAAGAGCTGATCATACTGGTTGAACTGGAGGAGGGGGTTTGGAATGGGGTGTTTCCTCCTGCCACCATGCTTTTCTTGGCATCACTGTAGAAAATTCACTTTATGTTTTTGGATGGCTTCAGTAAGATATCAGCCAGGCTGCACAATCCTGTCCCAGCACACTCTCATGTGTGAGTGTGCAAATGCACACTCGTTGTCTTTTTCCTTCTGCATTTGCTGGGTTTTGGATGTTTTTGGATGTTTTCCTTTCCACCTTAAAACATGGAAGAAGTTCGTTCTGGAAACTGTGCAGGAGTAAGTGACAGGGCAGGAGGGCACAAACACATGCAGAGATTTATGTGCATAGAATTGAGCAAAAATACAAGTAATTCCTCTTGAAAGGGTCATAAAAGACCAACCCCTCTTCTCCTGGTCCAAATCCCTCTATTTGCAGCTCTGCAGCAGCAACCAAATGTCATCTGAGGGGAGCGAATAATCAAATTCACTGTTGCCACCTGCAGACCAGATGCAGGCACTCGAAATCTCCCAGGAATGCAGCTGGCCTTCCTGTGCAGCCCTGAATCAATCTGCATTCATTGTTTTCCAGGATTTACTGCCCTGCCCACTGCAAGGACGAGCCCTCGTACTGGGCGCCCGTGTTCGGCACCAACGTCTACGCCGATGTGAGTCCAAACCTCTCCCTGCCCATCCTGACTGCCCTGTCCCACAGCTGGGCTCACTCTGGGCATCAGGGGAGAAATTCAAACTCTTTTGTGGTTATTCCATGTGGGGACGGGCAAAAGGGGGTGAAGGATGGGGTCAGCAGGCTCGGGGAGCCCTTTTGGTCTCCATACACTGATTTATTTGGAAGGATTGGGATGTGTTGCTCCACAACTCCTTGAGTTGGGTTTGGTGAGCCCTTCTACTCTCCAGCACTGACTGCTTCCTAAAGAATTGGTCATGGCCCTTGAGATTTGGTCACATCCCTTAACCTCCCCAAGCCTTTGGGCTCTGGCTGTGAAATAATGGTTGTACTTGTTTAAAGCATTTTGGGAATTTATAGTTGAGCACCAAAGGGCTTTTATTCCATCCTATCACACTATAGAGCTGACAGAAAAAGACCTCTCTCTCCCCTTTTCTCCTCTTTCTGGGAGATGGACAGCTTCTAAGCAGCCAGGACAGAGCTCAGAGCAGTGGAAAGAAAGAAAGTGTGTGAGCTGCTTTTATGGGTTTGTTTTTCTGAGCTTTGCTCATGGGGATGAGCAGAGAATCGATGCTAAAACTAGGCAGAGTCATTTTCTTGAAATCTCTTAGTATTAGGCCTCTAAAAACTGGGTCTCAATGTTTTTCCATTTGTGGGTGTCTGGTTATTTTGGTTTTTTTCCTCATTTTCTGTTTTCCGTCGGGGGCTGTGTTCAGGAATGCCAGCTCCCTGGCTGCCCTGTAGCCTGTAGGATCCTGGTTTAGAAAACCTGGGGAAAGCAGTCAGCAGATTGTGGACCCCCAGCTTCAGGTCACCCTGGAGCTTTGCAGACTGCTGAGAAAATCCATCCTGCAGGAATCATACAGTAATTTGGAGAAGCAATTTTGAAAGCTATTTCAAAAAAAAACCAAAACAACCCCACACTATTTTTAATTTTGCTCAAGACGAATTTTTTTTTTGAAGGAAGAGCTGCACAAACAGGTTATCCTGGACTAGCTCACAGGCAAATCCATGGAGCAGCTGCCTCCCTGCAGTACCTGCCTCCTGCATGCTCCCACCTGCAGGAAATGGGAAATAGTTTTGTCTTTTTTACAGAGGACAAACCTCCCTCAGATCAGCCCTGAACAGGGCCTGTGATTACAAAGGAATTAGGTGAGGAGCAGCATCCCAGGCTGGCACTGCACTGACGCAAAAGGATTAGTGTCCTTTAATGAACCCATTTCCTACTCTCCCTCCTGGGTATTGTTTCAGAAACGGGGGCATGGATGGTGGCTTGGGAGAAAAACAAAAAGCAAGAGTAATAAAAAAGTATTTGGCCACTTCCTCGAGGGTTTGGTTAACCTTTTTTTTGGACTACTGTGCTAAGCAGGGTGATGTGGAGGTGCCAGGAAAGAATTGAGGTTGGTGGCAAAGCAGGTGGCACAAAGAGTTTGAGGTGACTCTGAAGGGTGCTGCAAAGGGAGAGGTGGGATGCTGGGAATGCTCAGAATGGGAAGTTGAGAAGAGAAATAACCACACCACACAAGGAGAATTTGGGGAAAGGCTTTTCCCAGGGAGAAAGGCCTGTGCAGGATGCTGGGAATTAACCCAAGCTCACTGCTGGGGAATAATTAAAGCAGGCAATGAGCTGGATGAGACAAGTGCTGGTCTTCTGGGAGGGCTTTGGGAAACCAACTTCGTGTCTAGTGTGGCACCTTCATGGCCCTGGGGGCACCTGGGCTCCAAATGAATCTTCTTAAATAAGCTACCTAAAAGACAATGAAGCATTTATCCCCATTTCCAGTCTGCACTTTGCTTTAAAAAAAAGTTCAGGGACTTGTTTGTGGGGAAATTAGTAAGGCTGTGGAACAGGGACCTAGCGGAGACTTGAATTTTGGGGTAAATGAAAAAATGCAAGAAATATGCAATGGTAAAAGTGGACAGGCCTGGTTCTGGGGTGACCATAGAGCCATGGAATGGTTTGGGTTGGAAGGGACTCCAAAGCTCATCCAGTTCCATCCCCTGCCATGGGCAGGGACATTTTCCATAGACCAGGGTGCTCCAAGCCCTGTCCAACCTGGAGCTGTGGGAACAGCCAAGGATCTTTATGGAGGTTGTAAAGGAGCTTTTGACTTCCGTGAGACTCTCATTTGTCACTCTGCCTGGCTCCTGGTGTGACATAACCCTGCAGAGGAAACCCATCCCATCCCTGCCCAGGAACCCTGTGGAGCCAGGAAAGGGAACAGCTGCCCATGTTTGAGATAAGGCTTTATCCACAGTTGTGCAGTGATTGCTTGGAGGAGGATGGATGGATGGATGAGGGATGGATGATGGATGAGGGATGGATGGATGGATGGATGATGGAGGGATGGAGGGATGATGGATGGATGGATGATGGATGGATGGAGGGATGGATGGAGGGATGGAGGGAGGGATGGATGGATGGATGGATGGATGGATGGATGGATGGATGGATGGATGGATGATGGATGGATGATGGAGGGATGGATGGGTGGATGGAGGGATGGATGGGTGGATGGATGGATGGGTGGATGGATGGAGGGATGGATGGGTGGATGATGGATGGATGGGTGGATGGATGGATGGATGGATGGATGGATGGATGGATGGATGGCCTGCACAGAGGCAGGAGTTTGTCACCAGAGCAAACTGAGTTGGGAGTCAGCTCCCAGGAGATATGAACTTAATGATTAAATCAGTCACACTAGTGAGGAAATTCTGGGTGATTAAGCTCATAGTCAGAGAACATTGTTAATGACCCACTATAAAATGTGTTGTCATTTTATGGTGTGTGCCCTGGAGCTCATTTCATCAGGAATTGGTCTCCAGAGTATCCCAAGGGGCTTCACCATGGAAAACTGTTTTATTGCCCATGCTGCTGTACTCCTGAACCTTATTCTTGTAATATCTCATCTTCCAAAAGGTCTGCAATTAATTAATCAAAGCACAGCGTGGCCTGGGACATGAGAGGGCTGCAATCCAACAGAGTGATAAGAGGAGGTTTGGGGTAAATCTGTTGGTCAGAGCTTTGAGTGAGCGGCGGAACAGCAAGTCCTGGAAAAAAAAATAACAGGAATGCTTTGAAAAGAACATTGTTCAGGATGTCTCCCAGTGGAGAGTGCTGCAAATTGATCCAGGACAGTTTAATTTTACGAGCCAGTTTTAGATTTATAGATTTCCCACCACATATTAGGGCAAATTCACTGCATATCTTCCAAACACAGCATTCCCTTGCTCCATTGACCATATATAGAAGCAAAATGCCAAACCAGCACTCAAAACTCTGAGGGCTGCCAAGAGATAGGCCATCCAAAGTGATAAATATATATATAGGGGACAAGAGCTGCCATATATGGCTGTGGCAGGGAGGCAGCATGGGCTGCATCCTACTTACACAACGGGAACAGTTGCACTTGGCACTGGTTTTGTGGTACTTGGATTTTTAGCAATCAGGGCATTTCTGGGCTTGGGATTTTCACCTGCTGCAGTTTTGCTGTGCAGAGTTGGTTTTTCCTTTCTGTTCTTCCAGCTCGCTGCATGTAAACCCTGCAAAGAGCTGATGGCCAAGTTTACACTATCCCTCAGCTTTCTGTGCTTTTGCTCCCTTTTTCTGGATGCTTTGGGGGCTTAGTCATCGGTTGTTGCTGGTTTGTGTTCCTCCAGCTCTTCTGGCTCTGCACATCTGGGATGTGCAACAGAGAAGCTTTGGTCTTTCCAGAAGTGTAATCTCCCTCCACATTTGGTGCTGTTTAATGGGGTAATGCCCATCCAGAAACTGCACCAGACAAAGGGGGCAGCCCTTCTGTCTTTCCTAGAAAGAAGGATGTGAGCCGTCCCAGATAATTAGGGATCATTTACCTTAATTCAGGAGGAACATCTGCTTTCCAAGCAATTGTGTGAATAACCTTTGCTGTCAGTGGCACAGGGTTTCACCTCAGAGGTTTCTCTGGTGCAGTCCCAAGAGGCACTGGCTGGAAAATTGTCCTCAATTCAGTCTTGGCCCTGGATAAGGTGAAGAAGCGTGGGTTTGGGCTGGACATTTGGAAGGAATTGTTCCCTATGAGGGTGGGGAGGCCCTGGCACAGGTTTTCCAGGGAAGCTGTGGCTGCCCCATCCCTGGAAATGTCCAAGGCCAGGTTGGATGGGGCTTGGAGCAGCCTGGGACGGTGGAAGGTGTCCCTGCCCATGGCGGGGATGGAACTGGAAAGATCTTTAAGGTCCCTTCCAACCCAAACCATTCCATGATTCTGTGATGATCTCACAGGGGCAGCTCCACCTCAGAACAATGGAAAATCTGCTTCTCCTCTGTGGTGATGGTGGATCTTCTTTCACCCAGAGATTACGACATACCCACAAGATCTAGTCCCTAGTTTGTCCAAAAGAGGGACAAAACTGTTCCATAACTGTTTCTTTGTCTATTCCCTGTTTTTTTCTTGGTGCTGATGGAATTGATAAGTCTTCGTAAATAAAATATAGACAGTGTGTAAGTCAAAACAATTAAATATTTTTCAGAGCTCCAGTATCTGCAAAACTGCAGTGCATGCAGGGGTCATTTCAGATGAAAGAGGAGGCTTTGTGGACGTGATGCCTGTGGAGAAGAAGAAAACCTACGTGGGCTCCTTAAGGAACGGCGTCCAGTCAGAGAGGTGGGATCTCCTTCCTTTGCACTTCCCTCTTCTTTTCCGGAGTTTTCAGCTCTCTGGGAAGGTCAGCAGATATCAGCTGGACAGGCTTGGGAAGAAGTGGCTTCCCAGTGCCACTGTGAGTTGTGGCAGCCAGGCAAATGGAGCGTGTTGTCCTCGCCCAGCCAGGAGCTGTGCTCAGGCTGCTGTGAAATGTTGTTAAGCAAACCTTGTTGGATTTTGTCACAGCACAAGTCCATGCTAATACGTTTTGCTGTGTGTTTAACACATCAGGAGGTAAGCACAGGTATTGCCAGCTCTCAGCCCAGGTCACGGTTTGGGTTTTGTAATTTGGATTTCCGTTCAATTCTGGGTGTGGGATTCATTTGTTCATTCATGTCCTCTGTTCTCTTTGAAAGAAGTAAATTAACTTCTTGAGACATGATCAAACACTTTTTGAAGATTAATTTGCCATCCTTGTAGGTTTTTTGTAGTTTCTCCAGGGCCAACCATGCTGGTTTCAGTGACCAATTGCAAATCTGTGCTTCCAGCATCCTGCACTTCCTCATGACCACAACAATGCAGTCACAGCTCATCCACTCCTTCCTAATTTGAGACTTCCCTTCCAATCTGTTATGTGTTTTTTCAGATATTGGTGAGATGGCACTGATTTCTCAGGGCTATCTTCACAAGTACAACATTTCCCACAGTTAGGGAGGTTTTCAGTCACTGCTAACTCTGTCTGCTCTGTGCAGTTCTTCTTTTATAAAGAGTATAAGGCATTTTATCAAGTTTGCTGGTTTTATCCTAACAATGGATATTCCAGAATGCTTTAGAGCATCTCAAGAAATAAAAGCAGACTAAGACAGGAAAGCAACAGCTGTTAAATATGGGGGTTTTAATATAGATTACCAGGGTCAGCATTTTCCAAGTGGAAAACTTGGATTTGGGTGAAAAACCTCCCATTTCTTTGAATCCTTTTTATCTCAGTCTTGCTTTCACTTATCTTTTATACCTAAAGACAACTTTTTACTGGGATGGCAAACTGTGCCCTAGCGCAGAATAAATCCCACCCCTCTCAGGGATGAGCAATGTGAGCAGCCAGGGTTGATCTGGAGGGTGAGGGAAACCAGAGACCTTCTCACAGTGGGGATTAAGGTTTGGAAAGTGTTATTTACACTCAGCAATAAGGAGCAGCCTCATGCTGTGAGATCCACCAGACAGTGAAACAGCTTTTCCAAGATTAAGGTGAACCCTCACACTTTAGGAATCTGGAAATAACCCTGGGTAAAGACACACACCCAAACAGGTATGGGAAAAGGCTTCCTTCGGGATTTACTGTGTCCTTGCACTTGTTGCAATGTTTATTTTGTGGGAAAACGAAATTTTGTATTTTTCCTGGGTTTTTTCAGTGCTGTAGGACCTGGGAATAGAAACACCCCCTTTCCCCATGCACAGAGTCACCCCAAGCAGCTCGGAGTCAGAACAGCTGAGGACACCCCTGCAGGTTTAAAAGGAATATCTGTATTTATTCTCATTTAACATGAGCTGATGGGGCCATTCCCACTCCCAGCACTAGGAGCCAAGCCAGACAGGCCCTGGGAACCTGCCAGCCTATTTGACAGCAGTTTTTTTTAGGAAAACATATTCCTCTTTATGCATGAATCTCTGCACAAGGGAGCACAGTGTTCCTTGGATAAAAGCTGGGGCTGTAAGAGAACCTGTTGTCTTCCAGCTCCCTTTTTTTTTTGGCATTAGCACTACAGATTTGGATTGAAAACATAAAAAAAAAAGGTGCAACCATGGATTTGTGCCCTTCTTTCTCATCCTTTATCTTTCTCCTGCTCCTGGTTGGAAAGAGATAGGGGAAACTCAGAGCTGCCTGTTTGGGTCTGTGTTGTGTTCACTTGATTCATTCCATGTTTGTTTTCTTTTCCTCTTTTCTTCGTCTCCAGCTTGAAGAACCCTTCAGATGGGAATGCCTTCCGAATCTTTGCTGTGAAGCAGTAAAAAGCCCCCAGGGAAGGTGCAGGTTCCTTTGGGAGAGCTCTCTGTTGATCTCCAGAGACGCCAAAAGCTCCTCTGAACGGCATCAGCTCTGCCCGTACCCTCCTTGCCCATCTCCTTCAGGGAATTCCAAAAGAAAAGGGGAAAAAAAAAAAAAAGAAAAACCCCAAAAAAAGACCCCAGGTTCTGACTCAGCTGTTGGCATCTCATCGCACCCGTGCAGCGTTGTATCTTTTTGTCTCGTGTTTTTTGTTTCTCTAGGGGCATTCAGCGACCATAAACTGTTCTAAGTTTCGTTTTACCAGAGGTGTTGCTACACAGGATGGTGGTGGCTCCATGGGCAGCAGATTCAGGGATCTCAGCCTGGCCCTGGATGGTGTTTTTAGGGTGTGAAGCTTCTCCTGGGATGGGTGTGAGGATGAGTAGACTCGGGAGTGAGCAGCTGTCCAGGCGCTGGGCACTTTGAAATGAGAAACTCATTGAAAAATTGCATTGTCTGGGGACAGGATGGGCTTTGACAGAGTGATTTTGTGTGTGTTGGATGGTTTCTGTGCAAAAAAGCATAAAAAGTGGTGTTTCCCCACTGAGGTGACGTGCAGCAGCTGTGTGAGGCTGCTGGGTACCTCAAACGATGGGGCTTGGGGATGCTCTTGGCAGCCAAAATTAAAGTTTTGTGGGCCTGGAGCAGGGTGTAAAACGGTGGCAGAGATCCTCACTGCAGAAAATGAGGCCACCAGATCATCCAAAGAGCAGGTTTGGTGTTTGCTGGTCAAACACTCCCAGGTATTTTGGCAACCTCTGAGCAGTCAGAGAATTGGGGCTCCTGTGCTGGCACATCTCATCCTATACTCCACGCCATAACTTCAGTTAAATGCAGTGTATTGGTTTATACAGCAGTGCTGGTTGTTTTATAGTAGTTGAGTAGTGATAAAATTAATCTTATTTCTGCTAGGAATGGTTGCATCTGTAGGAAACAGGTTCACTTTCCCTTTGTGAAGCTCCTTGTGGCGTGCGCAGTTCTGAGACTTCAATGATGCAGCATAAATTGGGGTAGATTAATTTTTCCAAGAATTTCCAAATGTGAAGCCAACACAATGCTGTACCTACCTGTGAGTATTTGGTATCCAGGATGGTGGGTTTTGCAAAACTCATAAGGTGTTGTAATGGTGTTATTCCATATTTTGATATTTTTGTCTTGACATGCACCCAAATGCATTTCAAAGAGAAGGGCTCAGCATGAGCTGCCCTTTTAAGGCAGAAGGACATGCTCTGCTTCACATTGGAAATGAATTTTTATGATGGGTCTAAACACAAATCTGGTGGGTTTTTGATAGAGACACATGCAGTAACTTCATCAGTCATGAGAAGACAAAGCCAACAGAGGTTCCTCAGTTTTTGTAAATGTGCAGTCCTTCCATTCAATAACTGAATTGTAATATTGGATAACAAATGGGAAAATATTTCCCTCTGTTTGGCAGATGTTTCAGTGCTGCTCTTAGGCCCAGAACATGTTTGGTTTAATCTAGACAGACATAAGCATTTCTATGATTAAATTCTTTAATTCTGTAAACACCATGAAATTAGCAAGGAACTGGCATTTAAATGACATTTATCATTCAGTTTGTCCTACCACTGGGATTTATTTCTCCATAAAATCTGAATTTGGAAAGAAACCTTTTGTAAAACCTGAAATTGAAGCTGCATTTCACTGTCTCCAAAAATACTGCACAGAAAAGCCACTTTTGGGGCGGATAGAGAGAAGTGAGCCTTCAAAGTGTCATCTTTGTTTATGTAGTATTGTCATCCAAGGTGTACAGTATTGACTTTAGATAGGAAAACTGAACCATTTCCTTTTCTTACTAAATAAATTGGTGTTAAAACCAGCTGGAACATATCCTAGAAAAGCTGCTGGTTGGGAGCATTTGAGATGTTGGCAGTGAGGAGAAGCTCCCCCGTTTCTGCCCGCTGTGAAGTGTTGGGGTGAGCGTGGTCTGGTTCCAGCCCATCCAGAACTGCAGCAAGAATCTGGGACCAAATCCCAGAATCCTGGGCCAAATGGGCTGGGAATGGAACTGGAGAGAGTGAGAGGTGCAGTCAGGTTCATGGGGACTGCAGGAGCACATAAAACACCTCGACTCTAGTGTGGGATCCATGAAAATTACGGATGGAAGGTGATGGAAAGGACTGTGAGGGCTCTTGGAGTAAAACCCAGGGGATTACTGAGAGCACATAAAAATCCAAACAGCTGGGGATGTGCCTAGGTGACAGAAAAGGGACAGGGGAAGGGTTATTATTCCAACAGAAATATCCTAAAATGCTTAATTCAAGTTACAATTGCGTATTTTTATCTTCAGCCAACTGGTTTGGATTTTTAGAAACCGATGTTAATTTAAGACTGTATCTGTTTATTTTTGTATTTGTTGTACAAAAGAGAAATTGTGACTTTACTACACAAATATTTTTCGAGGTCCTGGGTGCTATTAATTTAAACATACCTCCCCCAGAATTAGGGGTGATCAGGTCCTCCAAGGCAGTCATGACCTATCAATGACTTGCAATCATGCGTGCTAGCTATTCATGAATAGGTGGGACAGTACCAGTTTTTTAGCCAAATATTGACAGATTTTATTTCTGATACCAAGACATTTCTCAGCCTGCTATATTTCAGTGCAGCTTAAAGATGCATCACGTCTGTATCTCACCAGGCCCTCTCCTCCTCAGCCCCAGCTCAGCATCCAGGTGCAGCCAAAGCTGGTGCTGCCTGGTTGTGCTTTTCCAATAATTTGGGGTTTGGAAGCAATGGCTTGGTCATTGCAGAACACCTGGCTCAGCCCAACCTCCAGGAAACACAACCAGGGTGAAATCCAGAGCCTTGGCTCCACTCATTCCTTATTTTAAGACTTCCAGCCAACAGCTGGTTGAGGAGGCTCAGTTTGTCACTTGTGCAGTCAAAATATTTAGGGCCAGTTCATAGAGTTGCTTTCCTTTTTTTTTTTTTTTTTCTATGAAAAATGGTGTATTTTACTTCCTATGTATAAAAGTTACTTGTAAATTTTTGTGTGCCTTTGCATGTTTTCCAAGGGGCCGTGGTTGTTTATAAACTAGATTTTTTTTTTTTTTTGGTCTAAATACAGAATTGTAAAATATCTTTTCTTCCCTACCCTTCCATTTTCTTTTGATTTCTGAATTATTTGTGAAATAAAACCTTCCCAGAATGAATGCTTCCCTTGTCTTTAATGCTCAGCCAGAGCTGGGTTGGTGTTTAGAAGAGCTATTTGGGATAATTCCTGGGGACTAGAGTGTCCCCTGGAGACTCCAAATGAGATTGGGATGTGCAGAGCCTGTTCCACAAACAAATAAACTGCCCAGTGCCCAGGCATCAAAAATAAGAGGTATTCTTAGTGAAACAAGTAAGGGAAAATCACTGCCTGTCTTTGAATCCCTGCAACATAAGGGCTGAGTTAGATTAATGGGTTAGAAATAGTGTTTAATGATTTAGTGCTGCAAAATACAAGAGAGGTGAACTCCTCCCCACCTGAGCAGGCTGGTGTGAATTCATTTTTTGAAAGGAAAAGTATTCACATTTTGCAATTCCCTTTGAAATTTTCTCCAGGCTCATCCTTGCTGACAGCACCACAAATCAAACCAAGATTTTTCCTGGTAATCCAACCCCATTTGGTTAAAGGAGCAACACAGGGAGGTTCATAACTCATCCTCCAGACAATGAGCACCAGATGGGTTTTGACCAAAAATATGGGCTGGGCCATGGGATGGGGTCCTGATTGACCAGGCCATGAAATTTGTGTTTTTCATTACCTATACAAGAGGATTAATGCTAAATCCAGAGATGTTCGCTTTACTTCAGGGCTGGGCTGATGCAGTTCTGGTTGAACAATATTTCCCTGTAAATCCCAGCCTAGGACTGATGAGATTATTAATTAATTATTAATACCTCATTATTGCCCTGCCAGTGATTTCTGTCAAAGGCAAGTTTCATGGGTGCTCCTGCATGCTCTGCAATTCCAAACTGCCCATTTGAATTTACCCTGTGCTTTCCTTCCCCCATTTTTACTGCTGCAAAAATATCTCCTTCTCTGGAAGCATTTGGGAAGATTTTCCTAAGCAGAGCTTCAAGGTAAGCAGAGAGGGGAATTCAGGAATTCAAGGTAAGCAGAGAGGGGAATTCAGGCTGTTGGTCATTGTGAGGCTGCCTAGAGCACCCCATTAATGGCAACAGTTGTTTGATATCTTATTTCTTGGTTTGATATCTTATTTTTTGGTGCTACAAAATGCCCCATACTGTGATTTGGAACCTGATGGTATTTAAGGTCCCTTCCAACTAAATCCATTCTATGATTCTGTGAGTTCTGTGCTAAAATTTAGGTCTTGGTTGGCCTAGAGAGCAAAAGAGCAAAATACTCAAAATTTAGGGCTGAACCTAACCCATCCTTTGGGTCAGCCTGCCATCCTTTGACACTGTCTCTGGTTTTGTTTCCTCCTGTTTGAGCCCTGGGCTTTGTCCTCTGCCTGTGCAGCAGAAATTGGTGATATCACAAGTGGGAGCAATCAGAGCTGTGCCTCTTCCTGTACAACAGGTATGAAAACCAGGGGCTCAGGGGGAAACACACAGCCAGGAGAAATATTGATTATTTTTTTCCCATCTGGGGTGGGGTCCAGATTCTGCTTTAGCAGAGAAGGCATAAAGATTGGCAGGTTGGAGGAAAGTAGAGGGGAAAAAAGGAAAGATAAACCCACGAGGACCTGAGCGAGGGTGGCAGATCTGATATTCCCACATTGCAGGGAATCCTTGGGGATCAACGAGCAGCCAGGCTCTCTCTGCTTGCTGCTTCGGGCACAAATATCTCCTTGCTGGTTGTTTTGCCTTCTGCTGGCTGCTCCTCAGCCCGTGCTGAGCTCATCAGAGCCTATGTATAGCACGGGCATGCCTTGGGGTGGGTGTCCTTCCAAAAACCCACAGTCATTTATAGGATGCGCCCCCAATGTTTTCAAAGCCACTTTGCAAACCATGGGGTTGGCTCTCATTTACACCAAGGACCTACTTTAAGGCACTTAGGAGGCATTTATGCCACTTTAGGGTGTGGGGAGAGCAGTGTAAAGAAGCCTCAGTGTAAACAGAAACCACCCTTCTATCTGGTGGTTAAAATTGGGTTAGGGAGTTAAGTCAACAGACAAGGTCTGCCTTATGCTGCTGCCTCTGCTCCTCACCCAGGGGAGGGCTGTCCCCAGTGTCCCTCAGCCACTGCTCAGCCCAGCACATGCCAGGGAGATTCAGTGTCAAAAGGAACACAGGGATATTTATAGAGGGTGAAAAGTCAGGAGGCGCAGGTGGAACACGAGAGCAGAAAGAAGAAGGGAGCAAAATAAATCCAGAGCTTTGGGGTCAATCCTCCAAGGGCTGATTCTGTCAGGTTTGGGCTCTTCTGGTTTTGGGGCTGTGGGTGACCATGACCCCAAGGGGGGACCTGCCAACACATGCAACTGTCCTG